CCCCAAAACCCCAAAACCCCAAAACCCCAAAACCCCTAACATAAGTTAGAATATTGAACATTTCCAACATGTTTCTTGAACCAGGTTGTCTTCTACTTGTTCTTCTTCCGGTTGGATTATAGAGATGACTGGTGGCTTACAATACAAGGAAGGAGAGTATTCGATTGTAGTAGTTTTAAAAGGATATTTTCCTTGGAGATCTTTTAAAGTATTTGAGGCAATATCATCAACCAAAAATAGCAACTTCAGGTGATAAAACAAAGAAGATTTGTAGATAAAAGCAAATATCTCTTCTAGTCTTGAAGGATGTCTTTGCCAATCACTGAGAAAGAGGTTTCCACATGATACAATGTGCAAATTCCTGAGAGCTAGCCTTCTGCGAGGGAGAATCTTAATATTTTCTGTGCGTAATATTCACTTCTCAAACTTAAGTGAGAGAAGTCGAATTGTATTGTTGAATACTATAGTTGTCTGCTTCTGTGAAAATTTGATGTTACTAAATCTAAGAATCTTTGTCACACTTGGAATGAATCTCATGACAGTAGGTAATAATGTATTAATCTCAGCTAGATCCACAACATCTTTCCCATTTATATCCAAACTTGTAATTTTAATTGGTTGCACGTACATTCAACATTAAATGCTTTGTTTCAAGAAACTTCCCAATAGTTCTTTGATTATCTTGAGTGATAGATAAAACAATTTCTCACATGATCTGGCGAGGGACTGTGTTTCTATCATTTTTTGGAATCCTAGTAATTGACAACTTGATATCATCAAACATTCTTCCATTGTACTTCTTGGAATGTATCAATATTCAATCCGAATTGTTAGCACTCTTAATCCAACACCCAAATCTATCAGGAAGATAGAAGTTAGTGGACGAGTAGAAGTGCATTTCTTTCTCGAAGAGTAAGCTTTCTTGGGATATCTGAGAGGTTTCCATAATTATTTTATTTCTATGATTTTTCTATTACTTAATTATCTGTTGGGGTTTTGGGGTTTTGGGGTTTTGGGG